TGGTAGGTAGGGAAAACCGGGGCTCAACAACCTGGCAGCACGTACGGGCTTATCCCTTGAAGAACTCACGGTATCCCTTGAAAGCTCGTCGTGACTCCAACCTTCACGAAAAACCCTCAGCCTAACATGGTCTACAGTGTCAAAGACTGCATATTTTTCGTGACACCCACTCTTTATCGCCTGCTGCAAGATGGCACGCGGGGCCTGCGGCGCAGTCAGAGAAACGGCATCAGCCGAGCCGGCGCACCGTGTATTGGATGGCCGGGTCGCGACCGAGAGCGAGTCAAGTTGTGTCGGCGAAGCTCTTGCAGCTTCGGGGAATGCATTTGCTGGCTTGAGGGTAAGTGAAACCGCAAGAGGGTCAGAAGAGCAAACGGCGAGACTCGACAGGGGTCCGATCTCGATGTCGCTGCCCACTTCAGCAGGAATGCACATGTTCTGGAAGTGCAGCCGCTCACTTTCACATAAGGGCCGAGGCGGCAGACGTGTCTCCACAAATGGAGACAACAGGGGTTCCACAAGACCCCGAAAAGGCGTAATGACCTGAAGGGCCTGCAAAACCCAAGGCCTGCTGGCCGGAAGAGACCCAAACCCCAAGGCAAAAGAAACCTTGCGTCTTAGCGAAGGCTGCCGCATCTTCAAGCAAGGCCTACGCGTCTCACTACTATGTACATGGCAGCAGTCCAAGTTGTGGCACCGACGCTCGTCCGCAGATGCTTCCAGGGGGCTACCGACGGCGGTTGTGTCATGTCCAAGACACACACTGCCGGCGGTTCCCCCGAAGACTTCTGGGTCACGTCGAGGCCACAACTTGGGCACATGCCGGGCGATGGGCCGTAGGTCAAAAAGTGTCCCAGACGGCGATTCTTCCTGGCATCTCGGATCTGCGTTCTGGAAAGGCGTGCGCCGTAAGCCAAGAGCTTCCATCCTGACCTCGTGTTGCCTGCAAAGCCCGATTGCCTGCGCCAGCCATTCGCTGACGTAGTCTTGCTCAACACAGATGCTATGGCGAACGTCCGCGGAGAATTTTGGCTCACCACATCCACTCGGGCATCGAGGTGAGCCTACGGAGGGGGCGCCTTTGGCGCCGGCTCCCGGGACCTGCGGGGGGTCCTTTCTCTGGCCTTCAACTCCTGGATCTCGCTGTCGGCCGAATGGCTGGCCTTCTTGAGCGACTCCAGCAGTCCAGCCTCCTTGTCTGTCAGTGCTTCGGCTGTCAGAGGCTTTGTTGCATCCTCTGCGTCCACATCGATAACCATGTCCGGTTCGGGGAGCTCTGCGCCATCTGCCTCGAGGTCCACTATCCCTGTCGTGGCACCTGAGGCCTGAGCCAATGACTTGGTTGCTGTGGCGAGCTGTAATCGCCAGCGGTCCTCGGTCTGTCGGAACTCTTCCATCGCCGTCTGTTTCTCCACCATCTGCTGTTGTAGGAGATCGCCGAGCGCCGATAGGTATGTGCCCCACTCTTGAGCATAGTGGGCACGAGCTCTTTGGACATCCGCCAGTCCACGTTCTGCGGCCGTCTTTAGGGCCACATATTTGTGGAGCATCTTGGCAGCCACACGGTGCTCGGCGCTGGCCTGGGCATCCAACAATGCCCTGACCTCTGCTGGCAAGGTGTCCCGACTCTTCAGGAGAGCAACCATTAAGTCCGAAGGTGGCGGCGGGCTTTCCTCTGGAAGTGAGGAGACCACCGGAGCTGCAACAGCAGCTGGCTTGGGCGGTGTGGGCAAAGTCTGCAAACGGCTTGTAGTCGTCGGTGTCTGGTTCTTTCCTTTGCCAGCCCCCTTGGTGGTGTTCTTGTTGCCCGGGCCTGGACGAGGTTCCTGCTGTTCGTGAACCTTGTTCTTGCGCCTGGGCGATTGTCTCCGCCGCGGCGAATGTCCTCGCCACGTGTCCTCCTTCCACGGCACCGCCTGCGCAGGCGAGGTGTAGGAAGAAGCTGTTTCTTCCCAATGCTGGCCGCAGCCAGAACAATACGTGGCGGTAGCCTTGCAGTGTTGCCTGCACTGGCTGCACCACCACGCCATTGTTGTCTTGAGCGAACGGGAACTTAGAATGCGCCTGGCTTGCTCCACCAGTCCACTGTGTGAGTGGTGTCCAGCCAGCGAATGTATAGCCCTGCTTAACGCCGGGTTGGGTACCGCACCCCCGGATACAAAGTGTCGCAGCAAAGTCCGTCCACGAGTCCGAGATCGGCGGGCACGCCGATGCCACGCGGCCTCTGTCTGTCTTGCCGTGGTGTAAGAAAACACAGCAAAAGATCAGGATCTGCAGTCCAACTCGCATATGAAGATGGAAATGTGACCCGTAAAAACAATGAATCCAGCCTCAAAGAGGGGATTGTTCGAACGATACCTCCCTCAGGTACAGTATCGCCGCCGAAAGAACAAGTCCAGCCACAGGAAGGGGACCGCAGCCGGGTTAGGTTAGGGAATGCTACCCCCCCACGCACTTGCGGACTGGGGGGGAGCAGTGCGGGCTCACAGAGCCGCGCAGGGGTCTTACGGCAAGGGGCAATGACCACAAAGGGAAACTAAACAACCCCTTAAGCCGAGACGCCTGGGTTTAGGGTTTAGGGTTTAGGGTTTAGGGTTTAGGGTTGGGGTTCAGGGCTTGGGGTTTGGGAGCTCGCTCTGCACTTTGGGGCTGATTTTGGGTTTTGGGATTTAGGGTTTAGGTGTTGTTTTTGCGCAGTATTAGGGTTTAGGGTTTAGGGTTTAGGGTTTAGCGTTTAGGGTTTAGGGTTTAGGGTTGTTTTTGGTGTCTCGGCATTGAGGGCTTCGGGGGAAGTCTTGGTTGGAGCTTGTGTCTGGGGATTCTTTTAGGGCTCGGGTTAGAGGTCAGGTTGCTTTGCAGGGGTTTATTGTTTAGGGTTTAGGGTTTAGGGTTTAGGGTTTAGGGTTTAGAACCTAAAAATAAACCCTGCGCCCTAGATGTGGCTTGTACAAGACGACGAGGACTCCCAGTGGTTCGTCCCCTCGACCTTGTATTTTGTGTAGCAGTGGCCTTCCGGCGAAACCAGTTAAATCTAGAGTTATCCTACTAGAGTTATCCTACTTATTTCCCTGGTTACAAATAATTATCCCTAAGCCCTAAACCCTAAACCCTAGACCCTAGACCCTAAACCCTGAACCCTAAACCCCGAACCTTCAAGTAAAGGAGCATCTTTGTCACAGGGGCCCGTCTGCCACACCCGCACAGGTCCTCCTGTGTCGCGAATCAATGCATCGAGAGGGTTTGGTCCCACCCTTCCCGCAGAGTGCAGCTTCTGATAGCTGACAGGCCCTTGAGATAGATCACATATTCCTTTGCTGAGTTGAAGGTTTAGGGTTTAGGGTTTAGGGTTTAGGGTTTAGGGTTTAGGAGGATCATATTCAGGAATCTGTTTCAGCGGGTTTGAAGGGCTTTCCTAGCTTAGGACTTCGTGTTTCGTAAGTGTGGTCGCGCAGCCACACTTGCAACTTGCGCGTGGCCGGGCTTGTTGCTGTAAGCGGGTTCCCTGTGCTCGGGCGTTGCATGCAAGGCATCCATTGATCCCCAAACCCCCTGAACCCCAAACCCTCTAAGCCTCTAAGCCCTCGCATGTTCTGATCCATCAGCATGTGAGCACAGTATTTCCACTCTGCGGGGGCATTTCATAAGCTTTGATACGAACGATTGGGCTGTATTGCGTCGTGGTCCTTCAGTCAGATTCGGCCCTGTTAAGATGCAGAACCCCCCTCCCCCTCCCCAAGAATGTTCCTCGATGTTACTCACTGCACTCTGCGGCTGTCCTAGGACAGTTTCAGGTGGGACGTTTGTCTTATAGGAGGCGCACTCAGAGATTCTGCTGCTTACAGCCGACTAGTGTAAACAGCACCCATCCACCTGAAACTGTTCTTAGTGCTTTTGTGGGAGTTGAATTCGCTGGCGAGAGAGAGTCAGACTTGCATGGCCGCATTTTGCCGCATTCTGCCGCATTTCCCCCCCCAATTTTTAAGCAGAACAATTCGTGCCTCCCTGTGCGTGCGAAGCTGGTGCTGTCCTTGCAACACGAAACCCTGAGCTCAGCAACCGAGATGATTCGAGAGCCCTGAGGCCTCTTGACGTCTCCAAGTCCTTTAAATGCTGGGCCGGGACGCCGGTTTTAGCCACTGCGCGCCTGGCGCTGTACGGCGTAGGTTGCCCGCAGGCAGGGAAGCTCTTTTCTCAAATGGGGGGTTACGAAGATTGAGGGGGCCCCCAAAAATAGTAGGATTCCCTTATAATCAGGACCTTAAAGAGGTGCCCCTAATATCGTAAACCCCCAAATGCTGAGCCCTGAATCGTCGGCGAGCTTCTCTGCAGAGCTATGGCTTTAGAAATGAGTCGTGGCAGTCGCTTGTAACCTTAATTCTTTTGTGGTAGCAGAATCCGAGTTAAAGGTCCGCGTGCAGCTATAAGCGGCAAGCTCTTGTCTTAATCGCTTACGACTCACAACTACAGCTACTCTACTTTTAGCCCCCAGTGATGACTACCCATGAATCTCCTGGCGCAAAGGTCACCCTTCCCCAGGAAGCTGGTTTAGGGTTTAGGGTTTGGGGTTTGGGGTTTGGGCACAAGCAAAGAGTCATCAATCGCTGTGGCAGACGACCTTCCTACCAAGGCATCGCGACCTGGGTTAGGCAAGAAGCAGGTCTTGACTGTTAATTTGGAATGCAGGCTGCAGCGAGCAGTGCGTGGCACAAAGCCCGAAACGCTTGACCCTGAACCCTAGACCTTAAACCGTAGACCCAGAACCCTAAACCCTAAACCCTAAACCCTAAACCCTAAACCCTAAACCCTAAACCCTAAACCCTAAACCCTAAACCCTAAACCCTAGACCCTAGACCCTAAATCCTGAACCCTAGACCCTAGACCCTAAACCCTAAACCCTGAACCCTAGACCCCGAACCTTAACCCAAGTTGCATGCAGCCTCGTGCCTTACAGCGCCGTGTTCTGCCCATGGCGCGTGTGTTGAAGAAGCTGCCGAGCCCCCATGCGCAGCGCGGCGCAGGACCTGCCGTGGTCTGTGGTTGTGGAGGTTTGGGTGTTATTCGGGGGGTTTAGGGTTTAGGGTTTAGGGTTTAGGGTTTTAGTGCTAGGAGCTATTGTTCCCGCAGCTGCCACACAACGCGTCTCGCGAGGGCCAGAGCTTCGCGGAACTACGCCGGCAGCTGCAGGCGTGGCAGGGGTTTTGGGGTTTTGGGGTTTGGGGTTTAGGGTTTAGGGTTTAGGAGCCCAGCACCTGACCCCGCAAGCCCTAGAGCACCGCCAACCTCAAATTTCCTTGAATTCCTCAGCCTTGACGCGACTCTAAACCCTGAACCCTAAGCCCTAAAATTCTAAATCCTAATCCCTAAACCCTGAACCCTAAACCGTAAACCCTGAACCCTAAGCCCTAAAATTCTAAACCCTGAGCCTGACCCCGCAAACCCTGGAGCACCGTCAGTGTTAAATTTCCTGAGCCTTGAAGCGAATTCAGACCCTAAACCAAGACACCTTAAACCCAAGCCCAAAACCCTGAACCCTAAACCCAAAACCCAAAACCCAAAACCCGAAACCCGAAACCCTAAACCCTATATAGACCCTAAGCTCTAAACGTCTAAGCTCTGCAAAAAAACGCTCACTTTCGTTGCGGAGACAGGCCTTGGGGTGTGGTTGAAGCCCTCTACGTGCAACCCTCAACCTCTGTCCCAGGGGTTCAGTACAGGGTTTAAGGTTTAGGGTTTAGGGTTTAGGGTTTAGGGTTTAGGGTTTCGGGTTTAGAGTTTAGGGTTTCGGGCCCCAAGCCCTGGACCTCGAAATGAAAGCAGGCCGGCGAGCTCGGCCTGTGGCAGGCCAACTCGGCCATCAGTGTCCAGGACGAACAGTTTTGGGTACCGTAAAACCCTAAACCCTAAACCCTAAACCCTAATCACCCTGAACACCCTGACCACACTAAGCACCCTAAACACCCTAAACACCCTCAACCCCTAAACCCCTAAACCCCTAAACCCCTAAACCCCCTAAACCCCCTAAACCCCTAAACCCCTAAACCCCTAAACCCCTAAACCCCTAAACCCCTAAACCCTAAACCCTAAACCCTAAACCCTAAACCCCTAACCCCTAAACCCTAAACCCTAAACCCTAAACCCCTAAACCCTAAACCCTAAAGCCCCAGGCTCCTTGGGCCAGAAGCTGCAGTGGCAGGCGGTGCTTCAACTCCTGGAGGTGCTCGGAAGGTTTCCCAAAATTGCAGGGTTTAGGCTTTAGGGTTTAGGATTTAGGGTTTAGGATTTAGGGTTTAGGGTTTAGGCTTTAGGGTTTAGGCAATTTAATTTAGGGTTCAGGATTTGGGGTTTTAGGGTTTAGGCAATTTAATTTTAACGCTACGCGACCCGCCTCGGCCCGGCCCAGCGCATCCGCGTGAGCATGGTGATTCCGCAGCGCCCAAGTCGCTGGACACCAAGCAATAAGGGTTGGGTTTAGGGTTTAGGGTTCAGGGTTATGGTTTATGGTTTGGGGTTTAGGGTTGAGGGTTAATTTAGGATTGAGGGCTTAGGGCTCAAGGTTCACGCTTTGGGGTTTAGGGTTTTTTTGGGTTTAGGGTTCAAGAGACGGTTCGGCTTGGATTGATCGTAGGGGAGGGGGTAGGGGGGGGTGGGGGGGGGGAAGGGGGGGAAGGGGAGGGGGGGAGTGCTTCGGGCTTAGATTTAAGGTTCAAGGTTTAGGGTTCAGGTTCAAGCTTAGACTCTTCGGCTCGTGTAATGCATCCCCGCCCGGCCGTGCTCACACCAGTTGACCTTGGCTTTGGGCGGGGAAAAGGGTGTGGGGGAGAGGTGGGGGGGGGGAGGGGGGGGGGTTGGGGGGGGGGTTGGGGGGGGGTTGGGGGGGGGTTGGGGGGGGGGGGGGGGGGGGGGGGTTGGGGGGGGGTTGGGGGGGGGGGGTTGGGGTGGGGGTTGGGGGGGGGGGGGGGGGGGATGGAAAGGGGTGGGGGGCGGAAAAGGGGGGGCCTGCTGGGAGGGGCTTCAACTGCCTCTGGTCCTTTGCGAACCGTCCGCTTGCGGAATTCGGTTTCCTAGGGGGTACCAATTTGAGGGGTTTTGGGTGTGGGGGGAGGATTTGGAGGGGGGTGCCTGTTCTGACAACCTATACACCTCCGACCCGAGGCCTCGGCGGATTTAGGGTTTAGGATTTAGGGTTTTAGGGTTTAGGCAATTTAGACCCAAGTTTGGGGTTTTGGGGTTTAGGGTCTAGTTGTAATCCCCCCCCCTTATACCTTGAAGAGGGTGAGGGGCCTGCCTCAGCATTCGGTGCTGAATCGGCATGAAATTTTCGTTCAGAGAGCTCATAAGGAATGTGGGATGGGGACTGCATTGGGCTAAGGGGAACGGAAACCTTCTGGGTATGGTATAGGGTTTGTTCTCAGCACCAGTGCTTGCACAGGACTGCAAACCGGCATCAATTCAGCCAAGCAGGGTGTCCTTCGGCTCTGGAATCAAGGCATGCGGCCGAGCGAAGCAGTGGCAAAGGCCGGAGCATTCGTCGCTGTTCAACTCTGTCTGCTACTTGACACGACCTCCGGCACCCGCGTACGCACGTTGCACCCATGCCCACACACTCACACCCACACATGCACAACACAACGCCAAGCAACGCAACCCAACCCAACCCAACACAACACAACCCAACGCAACGCAACGCCGCGCCACGCGGCACGACGCGACGCGACACGACGCGACACGACACGACACGACACGACACGACACGACACGACACGACACGACACGACACGACACGACACGACACAACACAACACAACACAACATACACACACACACACACACACAAACACCCTGTCTTTCAACCCCTTCCCACCACACCCCGCAAGGTATCGTCACAGTTCGCGCAGGCATGTGACCCGGTAGAGGCTTGGGGCTTTGGAGGCTTGTATAGCCATCGAAACTATTTAATCATGCGGGATTCCTGTTAAAATACAAGGTACACATGTACATATATATATATATACATATATACATTATGTATGTATGTATGTATGTATGTATGTATGTATGTATGTATGTATGTATGTATGTATGTATGTATGTATGTATGTCTGTATGTATGTATGTATGTATGTATGTATGTATGTATGTGTGTATGTATGTATGTATGTATGTATGTATGTATGTATGTATGTATGTATGTATGTATGTATGTATGTATGTATGTATGTATGTATGTATGCACGTATGTATGTATGTATGTATGTATGTATGTATGTATGTATGTACGTATGTACGTATGTACGTATGTACGTATGTACGTATGTACGTATGTACGTATGTACGTATGTACGTATGTACGTATGTACGTATGTACGTATGTACGTATGTACGTATGTACGTATGTACGTATGTACGTATGTACGTATGTATGTATGTATGTATGTATGTATGTATGTATGTATGTATGTATGTATGTATGTATGTATGTATGTATGTATGTATGTATGCATTTGTGTTGCTCTGGGTGGAGAATGTCTGGCCAGGGCACTGGTGCTTCTCAACGACATGCTGCAGTGCAGTGCGAACCCTGGAGTGATCGACTTTTGCTCCGCCATCACCGCGTGCGTGGGCGCGGGCGCGCGGCGCGAGGGCCTGCGGCTTGTGGCTGAGATGCGCAGCTTGGCCTGGCTCTCTCTCAGCCTTGTGTTCTTTCGGCGCTGAGGTAGGTAACGGTAAACTTTCACTTGTTCTCTTGGCTTTACAGGCCACTTTGTCTCCGCGCTTATAGCTCTTGTTTGGGAATTTTGGGTTTTGTCTCAAGGGTTTAGGGTTTATAAACCCTAAACCCTAAACCCTAAACCCTAAACCCTAAACCCTAAACCCTAAACCCTAAACCCTAAACCCTAAACCCTAAACCCTAATCAGGTGACCAGGCCGTGCTCATGGATGTGATCACCTACAACGCTGCAGTCAGCGCGTGTGAGGGTCAGTGGCAACAGGCCGTGGCATTTCTTGAGGAGATGCAGGACCCTACGGGTTTAGGGTTTAGGGTTTAGGGTTTAGGGCTTAGGGTTTAGGGTTTAGGGTTTAGAGTTTAGGCTTTAGGGTTTAGGGTTGAGGGTTGAGGGTTGAGGGTTCAGGAACCACATAAACATCAGGATCCTACTATTGGGGTGTAAGAGCCCTACATGAAAGAGGGATTCTGGAAAACCACCTTTTTTGAGAATCCTTATGTGCATGGTTTTTTGGGCGCCGGTAGAGTTTTGGTTCCCTGAGAAGCCCACTAACGCCAAGAAGGGCACCCTATTCCAAGCAGGTTGCTCTTGGGCCTATATATTTTAGCGTAGAGGAGTGTAGTAGATGTATTACATGATATGCTATGTAGTATGGTGTAGTAGAGTAGAGTATAGCGTCTTACAAGTATAATTCGCTTAACACATTCTAGTACGCTCCAATACATTCTTGTCCAGTTATCGTACACTATAGAACCTCGTGGTACATTGTAGTACCTTTTGCGGCCTGAAAGTTTATGAAAGTTTGTGAGCGAAAATGCTAGCATATGATAGTGAGTGACGGTATTGTGTCAGCGTCAAGCAGTGAGAGACCTTGCGAGTCAAGAAGTTTCGCATTTCTTTCGAGCCCCGGCATCCCAACAGACGACCAAAAGCGACGACCGCTGTATATTTCGCCCTGAAGTCCAAGGGTGACGTCAGTTTCCCATTCTCCCGCTCCGCGCGGCTTCGTCTACTTGAACCCGGCTTATTCGAAGGGGTAGCCCTAAACCCGAAACCCTGAACCCTAAACCCGAAACCCTCAACCCTCAAACCCTAAACCCCAAACCACATAAACCCGAAACCTCAAAAGGATGCAGACTTGGAGCCTTCCCTGGTGAGCTACAGCAGCTTCTTGACTTAGCCAATCCTTGAACTTTAAGCTTTTTGGGTTTCCTTGTTTAGTAGAACTTTAAACTTTTTTGGGTTTCCTTATTTCGTCCCTAGACCCTAAACCCCAAACCCTAAACCCCAAACCCCAAACCCCAAACCCCAAACCCCAAACCCCAAACCCTAAACCCTAAACCCTAAACCCTAAACCCTACACCCTAGACCCTAAACCCTAAACCCTAAACCCTAGACCCTAGACCCTAAACTGGCTATTGGAGAAGTCAGGCTTGATCAGCTGCTGCGAGAAGGGCTTTGAGGCCGCCGTGGCGCTGCTCCTCTTGGAGGAGCTGTGCCAGGCATCCTCCAAAGGGGCTCTAGGGTTTAGGGTTTAGGGTTTGGGGTTTAGGGTTTGGGGTTTACGGTTTGAGGGATTTTCAAGGATTTGGAGGAGGTTTGAGCCAGGCATCCTCCAAAGGGGGCTTCAAAGAGGCTTTTGAGGAAATTCTTGAAGGGTTCGGAGGAGTCTTGAAGGGTTTTGAGGGGTTTTTGAAGGGGTGTTGAGGGTTTGTTCTTAAAGGGTTCAAGGGGTCTTAAAAGGGTTTGAGGTTCTGTTTTCTTTTTAAGGGTTTAAGGGGTCTGTAAGGATTTAAGGGTTTAAAGGGTTTTTTAAAGGCTTTGGGGGTTAAAGGCTTTCAGGGTTTCCAGGTTTAAGGGTTTTTGGGCTTAAGGGTTTAGGGTTTTCAGGGTTCAGGTTTAGGGTCGTGTGTAAACACCTGTGCAATGTGACCGGAATCCTACCCGCACACAACAAAGCTGGGCCTTGTTGTAGTGACAGCACCTGGTGTGCAGATTGTAAGAGCTACTCGAAGGTTCATGGGGTAGCAGGTATACGTAGCTGTGGAAGTTATAGCCAGTAGAAACCAACAGTTACCCTGCATACTCAGAAAGGTTCGCAGTAGTATGTCACAGCCTTGACCTCAGCAGACAGTTGATAAGCCTACTGCGCTGGTACAAGAATACGCCTTCTCTGCCTCTTGCCTCTTTCATGCCGAGTTTCGAGTGACGTGTCAAAGGCAAGTCAGGCACGTAAGTACGTGAGTGAGTGAGTGAGTGAGTGAGTGAGTCCCTAAACCCTAAACCCTAAACCCTAAACCCTAAACCCTAAACCCTAAACCCTAAACCCTAAACCCTAAACCCTAAACCCTAAACCCTAAACCCTAAACCCTAAACCCTAAACCCTAAACCCTAAACCCTACACCCTCACCCTAAACCCTAAACCCTAAACCCTAAACCCTAAACCCTAAACCCTAAACCCTAAACCCTAAACCCTAAACCCTAAACCCTAAACCCTAAACCCTAAACCCTAAACCCTAAACCCTAAACCCTAAACCCTAAACCCTCATCTGGCTGCGCTACTGGAGGAGGGAGGTCGAACAGTCGCGTGCTCGCGAGGAGCAGGGGGAAGAGGTTGTAGCTGCTGGCCACCCGCTTCGTGATGTGCGCAGTGAGCTCAGCGAACGGAAAGCAGAAGCCTTGACCTCGAAGGCCAAAATTGAGACTTTGGAACGAGAACTGTGCAGCAATCAGCAGCACACCGAGACCCTTGAGCACCAGGCACAAGAACTGCACACCCAACCCTACTTGGGACAGATCTGTCTGCCGGTCTCCTGCGTGCTGCGGTCATACGCCTACTGTGACAGACTTGATGAGTGGTGCTGTGGTTGATTTTTGAACCTCGACTCAGCCCCAAACCCTAAACCCTAAGCCCTAAACCCTAAGCTCTAAACCCTAAACCCTAAACCCTAAGCCCTAAACCCTGAACCTTGAACCCTGAACCCTGATTCCTGAACCCTAAACCCTAAACCCAGCTTCTCCTTGCCGTCCAAGCCTCTATGAAGCTGACCAGGCGGGGCATGAGCCAAATGCAATCGCTTGCAGCGCAGCGGTGAGTGCTTGCGAGAAGGCAGCTGGTCAGGGTTTAGGGTTTGGGGTTTAGGGCTTAGGGTTTAGCGTTTAGGGTTGAGGGAAGTGGTGATCCCTTTCTGGGGTCCTACAAAAACCCAGACGTGGACCCCAAACACACAAGCCCCAGCTCCTTCGTGCGCCTCAGGGCCAGCGCTGGACATCAGCTCTCACCATTCTGAGGCAACTTGTGCGCATGGGGCGGGTTTAGGATTTCAAGCCTTCCTTTTGCAAACACAAGCAGCAACAGTCTCTGGTGGAATGGCCCCTGCACCCTAGAACTCTCATGGTCCGTTAAACCCTAGACCCTAAACTTAAACTGACCCTAAACCCTAAACCCTAAACCCTAAACCCTAAACCCTAAACCCTGAACCCTGAACCCTAAACCCTAAACCCTAAACCCTAAACGCTAAACCCTAAACCTCTAATCTACCCCCCTAAACCCCCGGAGGCTCCTCAACCCGCATTGACACCCCAAGTCCGAGAACCCCGAGACCCACACAACCCCTACTCTAGCCTCTTAGACGCCTAAATTCTCAACCCCCCAAAACCCGAAGGCCCAAAACCCTCAAACCCCTAGACCCTAGACCCCTGAATCTAAAACCCCCGAAACCCCTCGTTCTCCCACCACCCGAAACCCTAAACCCTAAACCCCAAACCCCATCACACCCCGCCCCCAAAAAAAAAACAAACAAAAAAACACAACTTGATCCTCAAAAAATGCAGGCGCATGTCCAGCCGCGGCCCCGAGCCGGACGTCGTGGCTGCCGCCGCGGCCGTGGCTGCCTGCGGGGCGGGGCAGCGGTGGCAGGAAGCGACGGGGCCAGGAGCTCAGGGGAAGGCGGTGAAGGGTTATAAGGGTGCAGGGGCTAGCCCTAAACCCGAAACCCTAAGCCCTAAACCGTAAACCCCAAGCCCTGAATCCTGGGGTTTTGGGCGGGGTCTTTGGGGGGTTTGGGTTCTGAGTTCATGGGCTCAGGGTTTTCGGTTTCAGGCCCTCCGTGGTTTAAGGGGTCTGGGGTTAAAGGGATCGCGGGTTTAGGGTTTAGGGGTTAGGGTTAGGGTTTAGGGTTGCCGGTTTTCTGTGCTATGCCCAGATTCTTGTGAGCATCAGTCCGATTAGCTGGGTAGCTGAGCTTGGACTGCCATTTACGCGCTCAGCTGGTTTTCTGACTTTCTGACATCGAACGATCGCTGGGAGTGTGGTGAGTTTCCTAAACCCTAAGCCCTCAGCCCTACACCCTAAACCCTAATCCCCAATCCCGAATTTCTTGGGCCTTATCCCCTAAACCCAAACCCCCAAAGCCCCTAGTTCGATGGATGCGGTCCCAAAGCCATCCTATTCAATAGTTTAGGGTTTAGGGTTCAGGGTTTAGGGTTCAGGGTTTAGGGTTCAGGGTTGAGGGTTTCGGGAGCTCGAAAAGCTGAGACATCTCTCAGCTCGACAATCTCAGGGTTTAGGGTTTGGGGTTAGGGGCTAGGGAGCTTGAAACCCCTTCCCCTCGACGCTGTCTTCCATGGAGCCGTACATCTGCACCTTGTTGCCGATTCCTTCGTACTCTGGAACGCTAAGCCCTAATCACTAAACCCGAAACCCTATAAGCCCTAAGGCCAAAACGGTAAACCCTAAACCCTAAACCCTAAACCCTAGACCCTAGACCCTAGACCCTAGACCCTAGACCCTAGACCCTAGACCCTAAACCCTAAACCCTAAACCCTAAACCCTAGACCCTAAACCCTAAACCCTCGTGTAAGCACCTCTAAGCCCGAGGATAGCGACGAGCATGGCCGCGGCAGCCGTCTCCACCAACCGGATCCTGGTGCCGCGGGGGGTTCGCGGTATCGGACACTTACGGCTTTGCAGGGGTTTTGTTTAGGGTTTAGGGTTTAGGGTTTAGGGTTTAGGGTTTAGGGTTTAGGGTTTAGGGTTTAGGGTTTAGGGTTTAGGGTTTAGGGTTTAGGGTTTAGGGTTTAGGGTTTAGGGGTTTAGGGCTTCAGGGTTCAGGGTATTTTTTTTTTTTTTTTTTTTTTTTTTTTTTTTGTGGCGTTTTGTGGGGTTTTGCAGGGTGTTGTCGGGTTTCGTCGGGTTTTGTAGGGTTTTGTGGGTTTTTGTGGGTTTTTTGTGGGTTTTTGTGGGTTTTTGTGGGGTTTAGGGTTTAGGGTTTAGGGTTTAGGGCTTAGGGCTTAGGGCTTAGGGTTTAGGGTTTAGGGTTTAGGGTTTAGGGTTTAGGGTAGGTTTCTTTGTGGCGTTTTGTGGGGTTTTGTAGGGTGTTGTCGGGTTTCGTCGGGTTTTGTAGGGTTTTGTAGGGTTTTGTGGGTTTTTGTGGGGTTTAGGGTTTAGGGTTTAGGGTTTAGGGTTTAGGGGATTGTAGGGTCTCGGGTGCAGGTTGTGCAGGGCTTGTAGATGTGAGGGCTGGCTCAGGGTGTGGGGTTTAGGGCCCGTAGGGTTTAGGGTTTAGGGTTCAGGGTGTTTTTTTTGCGGTTTAGGGTTTAGGGTTTAGGGTTTAGGGTTTGGGGTTTAGGGTTTACGGTTTAGGGTTTAGGGTAGGGCATGTTGACCTACACTTTCAGTGATAGGGACCCGGGGTGCTGATATTTAGGTGGCCCCGTGCTTAAACCTCCCCGGGTTCTTGTGACGCAGCCCTGAAGAGGTAATAAGGCTGCTGCTGCTGCTGCTGCAACAGTGAGACCTGAAGCCCTAGACATCCCTAAGCCCTAAACCCTAAACCCTAAACCCTGAACCCTAAACCCTAAACCCTAAACCCCAAACCCTAAAACCTAAACCCTAAACCCTAAACCCGAAACCCGAAACCCTAAACCCCTAAACCCGAAACCCGAAACCCTAAACCCCAAACCCTAAAACCTAAACCCTAAACCCCAAACCCGAAACCCGAAACCCTAAACCCTAAACCCGAAACCCGAAACCCTAAACCCTAAACCCTTAGCCCTAAACCCTAAACCCGAAACCCTACACCCTAAACCCTAAGCCCCAAGAAGACCCCAAGAAGCACTAGATCAGCTTCTCTGCGCCATGCCAGAGGTGAACTCCCTGCTCTCTGCCTGCGAGACTGGGCGCCCATCTGGAAGTCTGTTTTGACATTTTCTCTGCTGGGTCTAGGGTTTAGGGTTCAGGGTTTAGGGTTTAGGGTCCAGGATTTAGGGTTTAGGGGCAGTGGTACCCTTTTCCCTTTTTTGGGGGGTCAAGCTTCCCTTATAAAGTAACCAACCCCAAAAAAGGTGCCCTTGTTGTAATCTGGGCTGCCAAGTCTGTTTGCCCTGGTACCTAAACCCTAAACCCTAAACCCTAAACCCTAAACCCTAAACCCTAAACCCTAAACCCTAAACCCTAAACCCTAAACCCTAAACCCTAAACCCCAAACCCCAAACCCTAAACCCTAAACCCTAAACCCTAAACCCTAGACCCTAAACCCTAAACCCTACACCCTAAACCCTAAACCCTAAACCCTAAACCCTAAGCCCCAAGCCCTAAGCCCCAAGCCCCAAACCCCAAACCCCAAATCCTGAACCAAAACCCGAGACCCCAAACCCCACATCCGAGCCCCCCTAGCAAGCCTAAACTCTGAACCCCAGACCCTAAAACCTAAACTCCAAATCCTACACCCTAAACCCTAAACCCTAAACCCTAAACCCTAAACCCTAAACCTCAACCCTCAACCCGCAACCCGAAACTCTAAATCTAAGGAGAAGCCTTTGCAGTGGCGCCGCGCCGTCAGCGCCCTGGCGGCGATGCGCGACCGGGGCCCGCGGCCAGACGTTGTGCCTTGCTTACGCCTTAGAGCTTTTTGGGGTTTAGGGTTTAGGGTTTAGGGTTTAGGGTTTAGGGTTTAGGGTACTTAGTATGTATCCTCTCTTGAGAAAAAGTGCCCTTGGTGATAAGATGGTTACTGCGCTGCACAGCAGACCGAACGATCATGAGAACGTCCATGCTTTTCAGTGCATTCATGGGCTAGAGCATCCACCTAAACCTCGACCCAAATAGGGTTTCGGGTTTAGGGTTTAGGGTTTAGGGTTTAGGGTTTAGGGTGGAAGGACTAAGAGGGTACCCTACAGAGCCAAGGGCCTCCCCCTGAGGCCACCCGTATCCAGACTTGCATCTGTCAGTTCCCCTGTGTGGGGTACTTATGTACTCTCGCGAGCCTGTTTGAAGTACCTCTAGCTGCACTCACGATCATGCCATGAAGGTATCCCAAAGCTCTAGTACCGGAAGCCTGTAAACCCGAAAACCTAAACCCGAAAGCCCTAAGACCCTAAGACCCTAAAACCCTAAAGCCCTAAAACCCTAGAACCCTAGGGTTTAGGGTTTAGGGTTTAGGGTTTAGGGTTTAGGGTTTAGGGTTTAGGGTTTAGGGTTTAGGGTTTAGGGGACCTCAATTCCTCGAGGTGAGCTACAGTGCCACGCTCAGTGCCGGAGAGAAATCCCAGGAGTGGAGATGCGTCCTGCAACTCTTCCGGGCCATGGGCGCCTTTGCTGGGAGTTGAGGGTTTAGGGCGCTAAACCCTAAACTCTAAACTCTAAACTCTAAACTCTAAACCCTAAACCCTAAACCCTAAACCCTAAACCCTAAACCCTAAACCCTAAACCCTAAACCCTAAACCCTAAACCCTATTGTCTAATGTTTAGGGGTTGAGGGTGCCACATAGGCGCTGGGCTTGCCGCTTCTTTTTCTTGCGGTCCAGTTCGGGCTTTGGGGTTTATCGGCTTTGTTTCAGGGTTTTTACGGGCTTTTAGGGTTTTTTAGTTTTTTTGTGTTGTGATCTTTAGGGGATGTTGAAAGTCCGGGCCCGTTTCGGCGATCTCTTGTGTACAACGAAGGCCCGAATGTAGAGGCCTAAGCCCTGAACCCTAAACCCTAAACCCTAAACCCTAAGCCCTAAACCCTAAATCCTAAACCCTAAACCCTAAACCCTAAACCCTAAACCCTAAACCCTAAACCCTAAACCCTAAACCCTAAACCGCAAACCCTCGATCCTAAGCCCTCTTGCCCTAAACCCTAGATCCTAAGCCCTCTTGCCCTACCTAAGCCCTCTTGCCCTAAACCCCAGTCCCTCAATCCCACGTGAGGCGACGCCGACCTCCGCCCGGGCCTTGTCTCCTTCGACGGGGCCCTAAGCGCCTGCGCCCGAAAGGCCGAATGGAGACGAGGCAGGGTTTCGGGGCTTTGGGGGGTTTAGGGTTTAGGGTTTAGGGTTTAGGGTTTAGGGTTTAGGGTTTAGGGTTTAGGGTTTAGGGTTTAGGGTTTAGGGTTTAGGGTTTAGGGTTTAGGGTTTAGGGTTTGGAGTGTGGGGTTTAGGGTTTAGGGTTCAGGGCTTAGGCTCAGGGGCGTCTTGGTTTCGGGGTTCAGTGCCACCGAGTTGTTCTCAGATCCGAATCCTAAACCCCAAACTTTTTTGGGCAAAAACAAATACCAAAAAAAAGACAAACATCTGGGGGCTTGAACCCTGAACCCTGAACCCTAAACCCTAAACCCTAAACCCTAAACCCTGAACCCTAAACCCTAAACCCTAAACCCTAAACCCTAAACCCTAAACCCTAAACCCTAAACCCGGGGGTGGTGAGGCTTGTCCTTGCTCCACGAGCTGCGCGGCTGGCGCCTGACACCCAACGCCATCACCTACTCAGCCAGCCTGGAGGCGAGCCCACCCGCTCACTATGCGCTGTTGCTTAAGGTTTAGGGTTTAGGGTTTAGGGTTAAGGTTTAGGGTTTAGGGTTTAGGGTTTAGGGTTTAGGGTTTAGGGTTTAGGGTTTAGGGTTTAGGGTGTAGGGTTTAGGGTTTAGGGTTTAGGGTTTAGGGTTTAGGTTTAGGGTACAGGTATTTAGGGTCACAAGTCAAACCCAATGCCTGATCAACGCCTTGGGATTGCCCCTTACTGGTTAATGTTCTTGGTGTGAGGCCGAGAAGACCCCCTATCCTCCCCCCGCCCCACCCGGTTCCCAAAACGCAAGGGAAACCGAAACGCACCCAGAACGCTAGCACCGAAACCCGAAACCCGAACACTCCACGACCCCAAACCCTGTAACTTCCCAGAACGCTAAACCCTAAACCCCAAAACAAGCCCGAGCCCTCAGCCCCAAACCCCAAAGCCCAAGACTCCAGACTAAACCCAAAACCCAAAACCCAAAACCCTAAACCCTAAACCCTACACCCTACACTACACCCTAAACCCTAAACCCTGAAACCCTGAAACCCTGAAGCCCTGAAGCAACAGTGGGGAGGCCTGCAGCGGGCGACCTTTGGCCGTCCTCGGCTTGCTGGGCGACACTTGGCTTTCATCTAGCTGGCTCTTAGGACTTTATCCTCTTAGGGTTTTGGTAGAAACCCTAAACCCTATTTTCAGTATAGTATTATAACCCTATAGTCTTCGTGGGCAATCGTGGGCAATGGTCATTTCTTCGTGGGCAACGGTCATATTTCGTGGGCAATGGTCATTTTGGTGATTTTTGAAGGGCATGGTGGAACCGGTAGGTGCGATGCGCGCGTCCAGTCGCACGAGCCAGCCCATATGTGATGTGTCGTTGCTGGACCCGCAGGGCACGTGCTTGACCTTGTTGGCTCACGGCAGTGCCAGCTCAGATCCCGCCTTGCAGGCGGACAACAAATCGTCGCATGGTGTGTCAGCGTGCGTGCTGCCGAGCGTGCCGGGCAAACGGCATCGGCGTGGATCTTTGAAGACAGCTGGCTGCTGGAACTCGGCACGGAGGAGGCACCGACGCGCACCAGCGAGGTAGCTCTGTAAGCGGCAGGCGTGCACGGTGGCGAGAAAGTGGAAGTGTGCAGCTATTGAGTGAGCCAGGTAGCGTTGGGGAGGTTGCCAGTTTGGCGTGTGGTAGTAGTAGTGGTAGGAGGGGCAGATGGTCAGCAGGGCTGGTTTTAGGGGCCTAGTCTGGGGTTCAGGTTCTACTTCATTAGCTTTAGGGTTCAAGGCTTGCTCAGGGCCTATTCTGGGCTGGCTTTAGGGTTCAGGGCCTACTCTGGACTGGCTTGTAGGGTTCCAGGCATACTCAGGGCCGGCTTTAGGGTTTAGGGCCTACTCTGGGCTTTTTTAGGGGTTTAGTGTCTACTCTGGGCTGGCTTTAGAGTTGTCTATCTTGTCGCCTGAATATAAACATGTAAGCAAAATATTTCGTCAATGTTATGGGATTCTTTGGGTGGGTGGGTATTTTTCAACGCTCGATGAAGTGCTTGACTAGTGAATGCTTGCATTTGAGATGCTGAACCCTAAACCCTAAACCCTAAACCCTAAACCCTAAATCCTAAACCCTAAACCCTAAACCCCAAACCCCAAACCCTAAACCCTAAACCCAAACCCTAAACCGTAAACCCTAAACCCTAAACCCTAAAACCTTAATCCTTAAACCCTCAACCCTAAACCTACAATAAGGAGCCTAAAAGTTAGACCGTTGGGAGGGGTTCAGAAGTCAGCCGAGGACATGCGGCGCAGCCGCTGCGAGTTGGACGCGGCACCTGGGGCGCATTTCGGGGGTTTAGGGGTCTAGGGTTTAGGGTTTGGGGTTTAGGGTTTAGGGTTTGGGGTTTGGGGTTTAGAGTTTAGGGGTTTAGGGTTGAAGGGCTTTAGGGTTTGGGGTTTAGGGTTTGGGGGTTTCGGGGTTTAGGGGTGTAGGGCTTTAGGGGTTTAGGGTTGAGGGGCTTTAGGGCTTCAGGGTTTCGGGGTTTGGGTTTTTTGGTTTAGATTTCTTGGGTAGTTAGATGTAGACAAAGTTATCGCCAGTTACTGTGGTAGTTGCCTGCTTCTGAAGCACGTGAGAGCTACTCATGAGCCTCCAAGAAGCTCGCCTTAGCCCCAAACCCCAAACCTAAACCTACAACCCTAAACCGTAAACCCTAAACCCTAAACCTTAAACCCTAAACTCTAAACCCTAAAAGCCATGACCGAACGATGGACCCCTATGAAACGGACCCCCCGCAACGAAATAGGGACATGCACCCAGAGCATCCACTCCCTGCACCCTAAACCCTAAACCCTAAACCTGAAACCACTGCCCCTAACCCCCCTCCCGCCCCAATATTCTCCCAGATGCAAGGTCGCCTACTCTACAGCGGCTGCTGCCTGCGACGGCTCGGGCAATGCCGGAGCATTGCTTGACTGGTGGCTGACCGCAAGGGTTTGGGGTTTGGGGTTTGGGGTTTAGGGTTTAGGGTATAGGGTTTAGGGTTTAGGGCCACAACGGTGCACCCAAACGCGTGTTCTAGCCTCAGACTTTCAACACCTGAATCCCACACCCTTAGCCTTAGCCCGAAGCCTTAAGCCGTACCCCTAACCCCGAAACCTGAACCCTAAACCCTACAGAATCGAGGCCATAAGCCCTAAACCTCGGACTTGAGACCTGCTCACATCTTTTGGGGTAGGAGGGCGCAGTCGTGCCCTGATTTTGGCGTGCGTGCTGGGAGGCTGCGGACCCTGGGAGGCTCGAGGGCTGTGCTTTCCAAAGACGCCGCATGATGGGGGGGGGCCCAGAAAATGGGCGGTTCTGGGGTGGGCATATCTTCACACTACTGCGTTCAGCTGACCAACGCCACACCCCAAGCCCTTAACGCGAAACCCTTACACCCTTAAACGGTTAAACCCTTCAACCTTCAAACCCCTAAACCCCTAAACCCCTAAACCCCTACACCCCTAAACCCCTAAACCCCTAAACCCCAAAACCCCTAAACCCCTAAACCCCTGAACCCCTAAACCCCTAAACCCCTAAACCCCTAAACCCCTAAACCCCTAAACCCCTAAACCCCTAAACCCCTAACCCCTAAACCCCTAAACCCCTAAACCCCTAAACCCCTAAACCCCTAAACCCCTAAACCCCTAAACCCCTAAACCCCTAAACCCCTAAACCCCTAATCCCCTAAACCCCTAAACCCCTAAACCCCTAAACCCCTAAACCCCTAAACCCCTAAACCCCTAAACCCCTAAACCCCTAAACCCCTAAACCCCTAAACCCCTAAACCCCTAAACCCCTAAACCCCTAAACCCCTAAACCCCGAATCCGAAACCCACAACCTACACCCTAAACCCTAAAGCCTAAGTCCCACACCCTAAACCCTAAACCCCAACCCTAAACCTCAACTAAATCCCACATCCTACACCCTAAACCCCAAACCCTAAACCCTCCGCTGAGGCTCCTGGGCTGCGAGCAAGCCAGCCTCGAGCTGCTCCAGTCTTAAGCTGCGCCTCCCGGGCCGGGCGAGGCGAGCGCACCTGGACTTGGTTGAGGGTTTAGGGTTTAGGGGTTGAGGGTTAGGGTTTAGGGTTTAGGGTTTAGGGTTTAGGGTTCAGCATCTCTGGTCGAAGCATTCACTAGTTGAGCAGTTTTCACGGCCATAGAGGAATACCCACCCGCCCATTGGGTCCCACACCATTAGGAAATATTTCCAACCTCCTTCTTGGGCTCCTTTCCTACCTGTTCGACCCCACTCCTGTCCATCTGTCATCAGGCTCGCAATTTTAGCGGCTCAGAAATGCAGTTTGGCCCGGGGCTCCTGCAGGGTTTCTCCGGTTCAGGGAGTTGGAGGGTAGGAGTGCTTTGCTGCCTAACCCGTAAGGCCCCCTTCTCGCCCGGCTTGACCCCTTGCTGAGTGTGTGCCCGCGCCGTTCTTGGCTCAGCGGCACGGCAGCTTCACATGTGCACGTAAGGCAGCTTGACATAGGCGCAGCTAGGCTCATGCTCAGACATTACACCATGGTGCTGTGGTTGGCGGTGTTGCTGGTGGTCGTGGCGCTTGGTGGACCCCCCGTGCCGGTGGACGAGTCCTCAGGGGACGAGTCCGCGGCCGGGGAGCAGGAGGTCGATGGTTACTTGTTGTGGTGGCTTCACCGGCTCGCCAGTGATGACCCCCCGCTCATGACCGAGGTCGACGTCCAATCCCCGCCCGAGGTCGACATCCAGTCCCCGCCCATGGCCGAGGGCGACATGCAGTACTCGTCGTCGGACAACTCCGAGGCATCGTCCTCCACTTTGGCGGAGAACCAAGTGGCGGCGAGTGTCCAGCAAGCTCGCGAGGCTGCTCGCCTCGAGCATCTGCAGGCCCAGGCCAGAAGCAAGCAGCTGGAGGAGGATGAGCGACGACTGAAGGATGAGGAAAGCCGCAGACAGGCGGACGCTGCGCGGCAACAACGCCGGACACTGGACCGCCGGCACCGCGAGGCGGAGCAGGCGGAAACTCGACGACAGAAAGACCAGCAGAGACTCACGAAGCAGGCGGAAGAGCAAGCCCGACAACAGGAAGCCGCCAGAGCCGAGGCTGACTGTATGATCCAACAAGCGCACCGAGAAGGAACTGAACTGCCGACCCTCATTCGACTGTCGCTGTCCACCAATGAGCTCTTGGAGTCGTCCCGCGATATGTACATGGTCTTGCACAGATGTTTGAGCCAGATGGAAGAGAACAATGAGCGGACCGCTGCCAACCTCCAGAATGCTTTGACGGTGTCATTGGACCGCCTCGCGCAGCTGGTTGGTTCACAGCTTGCTTCCACGCTCCCCAGCCGTGGCGCAGCGCCCACTCCAACCAGGGCACCCCCCACGCCTCGGTCGACTGGGGCACCTGGACTTGGTTGAGGGTTTAGGGTTTAGGGGTTGAGGGTTAGGGTTTAGGGTTTAGGGTTTAGGGTTTAGGGTTTAGGGTTTAGGGTTTAGGGTTTAGGGTTTAGGGTTTAGGGTGTAGGGTGTAGGGTTTAGGGTTTAGGGTTTAGGGTTTAGGGTTTAGGGTTTAGGGTTTGTGCAGACGATAGCAAAGAAGAAAGGTAGCCGGATGGGCTGATAAAGAGGGCGACGAGCTCAATCGGCTGCGGAGAGTGCTGAGCAGCGATCGGTCATGGGGCCTTGGATCGGCCGCTCCATCTTCTTTCTTTGCCCACCCGCGCCGTGGAGTGCGGCTCCCACCCTTTACCAGCTCCGCCTTTTAGGATTTAGTTTCCTAAACTCCTTTTAGGAAACTATCTTGTTTCTTTTTTTTGGTCGCCTTTTTTTTGGTGTCGGGTTTCTTAATACACCAGTCAAAAATGCTTGTCTGGCTTCGCCGCAGGATTTAGTACTTGCAGTTTGCCGGTCCATCGTGTGTACAACAGAACATAACTCTCGCCAATTTTTTTCTGGGCCCTTTTTTACAAGCACGAGTTCCCCGGTCGTGTGTTAATGCGTTTGCAGCGGACCACACGGAAGCTGACGTCAAAACCCGAGGTTTTGCGATTCCGAGTGCGCAGACAGATGCGCCAGAGGGGGGGGGGGGGGGGGGGCGGGGCGCGCGCAAAAAATCGCATGACGCACACTATTCAGGCGCGTCCGTCGCGAGGCAGCATTCTTGGAATTAGGCATTAGGCATTAGGCATATTTCCGTACATGAGGCATAAGCAAATTTCTCAGGTAACTTGGGCCCGAAACAAATTCTGGCAGCAGCAAGATAGGCAATATTTGGGCTAACTGGGAATCCGACCTTTTTTTCCGGGCAGCATGAGGTACAGCAGATCTCTCACCTGACTTGGGTCCAAAAATTTTCTGGCGGCAGCCAGACAGGCAAGTTTCTGAGACGACTGGAGCCCAAAATTTTCCGGGCAGCATGAGGTAGAGCAAATCTCTCACGTGACTTGGGCCCAAAAATTTTCTGGCAGCATTCAGACAGGCAAGTTTCTGAGACGACCGGAGCCCAAAATTTTCTGGGCAGCAAAAGACACAGCAGATCTCTCGCTTGACTTGGACCGAAAAGTTTCTGGCAGCAGTCAGACGGACAAGTTTCTGAGCCAACTGGAGCCCAAAATTTTCCGGGCAGCATGAGGTACAGCAGATCTCTCACCTGACTTGGGTCCAAAAATTTTCTGGCGGCAGCCAGACAGGCAAGTTTCTGAGACGACTGGAGCCCAAAATTTTCCGGGCAGCATGAGGTAGAGCAAATCTCTCACGTGACTTGGGCCCAAAAATTTTCTGGCAGCATTCAGACAGGCAAGTTTCTGAGACGACCGGAGCCCAAAATTTTCTGGGCAGCAAAAGACACAGCAGATCTCTCGCTTGACTTGGACCGAAAAGTTTCTGGCAGCAGTCAGACGGACAAGTTTCTGAGCCAACTGGAGCCCAAAATTTTCCGGGCAGCATGAGGTACAGCAGATCTCTCACCTGACTTGGGTCCAAAAATTTTCTGGCAGCAGCCAGACAGGCAAGTTTCTGAGCCAACTGGAGCCCAAAATTTTCCGGGCAGCATGAGGTAGAGCAAATCTCTCACGTGACTTGGGCCCAAAAATTTTCTGGCAGCAGTCAGACAGGCAAGTTTCTGAGCCAACTGGAGCCCAAAATTTCCGGGCAGCATGAGGTAGAGCAGATCTCTCGCCTGACTTGGACCCAAAATTTTGCTGGCAGCAGTCAGACAGTCAAGTTTCTGAGCCAACTGGAGCCCAAAATTTTCCGGGCAGCATGAGGTAGAGCAAATCCGTCACCTAACTTGGACGCAAAATTTTCTGGCGGCAGCAAGACAGGCAATTTCTTAAGCTAACTGCAGCCCCTTTTTTTCCGGCAGGAGGAGGTAGGCAATTTTTCCACTGAACTTGGTCAAAACCTTCCGACATAGCGGCAGGGGCCTCAGAAACTGATTGCATGGAGAACGCGGTTCATTCGGGCAACTTACTTGTCTGTAGGGGTCTCGGAAGAAGTCTAAGCTAGTTTCAAATCTAGAAAGAAACCATGGCCGCGAGCATGAACAATTCAATGGCCGCGAGCTAACGCTTCCCCTCGGCAACTGAACTGTCGAGCAGCCGAGGCACTCGCCATGGATCTTGGCCGCGGACGGAAACGCCCGCGCGAGCGCGAGGCTACTACACGGCAGCTGGTTCACCTGATGGGTGACCTTCCGCGGTCGCACGTGCAGGACACGGGCGCCAGGGTGGACAACGCGGAGGCCGCTCGCGCATGTTGAGCACCAGCCTGCAGCAGCCAAACTCGCATGGAAAGAACAAAAGCAAAAGAAACAGGACACACAGAAGAAGCGTGAGCTCGGAGGTCCAGGTGCGAGGGCACGGAGAAGCAAATTCGTTGTGTCCGTGGATTCGGGCAGGCGCTGCTGTGACGCCACCGATGCGGCGCTCCGCTTTGCGGACGTCGCGAGCATACACGTGGCAGCATGAGGACCGGTCGGGGTGCGCAATGGGAATGCAGCACGAATGTAATGCCTCGGGCCCACATGTGGTTAGTTGCAGGACGTTGGCAGCAAGGCAGCTGCCAGGCGAGCCAACCCAGGCAGGAGCCAAGACACTCCGAACAGAAAGAGCATCTCGACAGGGCGCGCGCCGACGCTGCCTCCACTTCCCCGCCCGAAGCTTGAGCAGAGTCGACGAGAGCAAATGTCACGAATGACTTGCGACACCAAAACAATTGTCAGGAAAGTCTTGCCCGCCGAAGTGACGCTGGCTAGGCAGCGACTGGGGCATGCACTGTGATCCGGCTTAGCTGTGAAACTCTTGGCTTGGGGCCGATCAGAGAGCCATGCAGTCCCGAATGCCACACTCCGTCTTGAGGGCAGGCAGCTGACCGTTTTGCGCCACCCCTCATCTTCGTCGGGAGCCGAGATGATGCGGGCATGTGTTCCTAAGAAATTTCGCGCCTGTATACTGTGTTCACCTGTATAGATATCACAAAAGGAATTTCCGGCCTTGTCGCGTGTTAGACATGATGCGGACTGGAGGTTCATTGGGCCCATCCGGAGGCGGCATTGTCTGCCAGCTCGCTTGGGTTAGCTTCGCGGAGGTGTCATGCGAAAGACCGCATGGAGTAGTTTCACCGCCATTCACGAGCCTCGGCGCGGGCAGGCCCCCGAAGCGCAAAACACCTCACGGCATCGTGCCTCACGTGCTTGCCGTCAGCCATGCTCTTCCACAGACAACCCTAGGTTTGGAATATTCAGTTCGGCGCGCGGTGGTACAGCAGATCTCTCACCTGACTTGGGTCCAAACATTTTCTGGCAGCAGCTTCTGAACCAACTGGAGCCCAAAATTTTCCGGGCAGCAAGAGGTAGAGCGGATCTCTCACCTGACTTGGACCCAAAATTTTGCTGGCAGCAGTCGGACAGGCAAGTTTTTGAGCCAACGGGAGCCCAAAATTTTCGGGCAGCATGATCTAAGCAAGTCCTTGGCCCAATTGGAACTCCAAGACGATGCCTGGCCGGCAAGCGAAGTTCGGCGCCAATTCTCTGTCTGAAAATATATGTACATATATATATATATGTATGTATATGTGTTTGTATTAAGATAGCAAGCTCAAGCTTCTCTAAAACCGTGCCCGTTGCAGCACACCTCCTGCGAAGGACAAGCCTAGACTTAGGACATTCAGTCGGGAGCTCGGCTCAAGGCAGTCCAGTGGAAAAGGTGAAGCAGTCAGACATTGCCCTGAGACATGAGTCGTCACGAGCTCGGTTATATCTGACGAGTTGCGGGTTGGCAGAACTTTCATGTCAGACACGGCAACTGCCTTGAGGTATGCGGCCTGCCTATGTCTGCTGGATGGTGCTCGCAAGCTTTCCGGGAAGGTTGGTCTTAGATTGCAGAGTTTCGGAGTGGATTCACATCAGCTGCAGGACGTCGGCCGTGCTGACTTCGCAAGACCGCAGCAACCTGCTGCAGGCCTCGGAATCTACATGTCAGGCAAGAGCAAGCGAGTGTCGTCACGGTAGGCCCTCGCAGAACAACGTGCAAGAGAGTTGGGCGAGGGGCGCGATGATCCGCGTTTGGAACGCAGGATCGCGACCCTCAGGCCGGAGCGCAGTACACGGGCGCGAGTTGTCAGCACTGTCCCGCCGCGCGCAGAAGCATGGACGTCTGTGCAGAGAACGTGGCAGAGGACACGGCAGTGCTCCGTGATAGCCATGACCCATTAAACCCTGTCGCTGTGTGCGCTGACCGTTCAGGCCAGCACGGGCGCCGCGGCGACGGCAATGGACACTTCCGCGTCCCCCCGTCAGCAGATCTGGTAGAGGTACATGTCGGCCCCGAGCTTGCCAGCGTGCTTACGAGGTCAACAGGTTCGACAGAATGCGGTTGCACGTCGGAGGACCTCGTGGCAAGTGCAGACACCAGGTTGGACCCTGAGCACGGGCTTGCAGCTCGCTCAGCCGTGTTCGGCCGCCGGAGCTGCAGGCCTGCCCTCAAGCGTCGCCGAGAAACCAGCAGGTCCGTTCCTGCGCGAGGACGGTTCGGGGTCCATGAGATGGCATTCTGGCAGGTCGACTGCAAGCTGCCTCGGAGAAGACAGCGAGGCCTGTTCGTGTCTTGGATTTGCACGTGTGTTGCATTTCTGCGACGCCACAGCGATGACGTGGTCGGCGCCTCAAGGGAACTGCCCCTGCGAGCCGTTGCATCGTGAGCACTAGGTCCACGTTGGACCGGCGTTTGACACGCGACCTGCATGCAACAAGAAAACGGTACAGACACGCAGCCACACACACGAAAACTCGCGGTAGCCTAGGTCGATCGACACGGGCGTGCCGGCCACGGTGGAGGAACTGGAACGCCGTGGCTTTCAAGGCCCGGCGGCTATGGAGCCGGACGAGGTCCTCGATGTACCCCCGGACGGAGATTGCTTATTTCACTGCCGCGAAGTGGCACGTTTGCGAGGCTCCGGCCAAGATGGCCAAGGCTTCATGTCAGATCGCAGGTGCGAGGCGAACCTGCTCGAGGCGTCCAGAAGGCTGCGCTGCATCTGCGTCGAGGCGGCCGGAGATGCCGGCCGGGAGGATGTGGTCGACAAGCTCTTGTCCAGGAGCCTGCCGGAAGGAGGTGCCCTCTGGTTCTTGGCGCAGTGGCTGGAAGGAAGCCTTTGGATCTCCTTGGAGGGCGTGTCGGCGGAGTTCGACGTCCTGGTGGGGGAAGGGGCCATCGCATGCAAATTGCTGCTGTGCTCGGTCATAGATTCAGACGGGCGGTCTTCTCCACATTACCGCCTCGCAGGCAGCTGGGTCAGGCAGCGGCAACACCGCAGGGAGTAGTTTCCCCGCATCTTGTCGGCAGGACCCCACGGCGCGGGCGTGGCCCCCGTGTGGTTTGCCCTTTGCAAGAATGACGCAACAGACTAAAAGATGGCTCCCAAAGAATAAGTTCCCGAATGACCGCACTTGTGTTGGAGGCCTCTGAAACCCTTGAATAAGATGCAAGAGACTCAAGATGGCTCCCAAGGAATAAGTTCCCAAATGACCGCGCTGGTTTGGAGGCCCCGGAAGCCCCCCAAAGGGACGCAAGAGACTCAAGATGGCTCCCAAGGAATAAGTTCCCGAATGATTGCGCCTGATTTGGAGGCCCCCGAAGCCCCTCACAAGGACGCAAGACACTCAAGATGGCTGTCAAGGAATAAGTTCCCGAATGACCGCGCCTGCTTTGGTGACCCCTGAAGCCCCTCAAAAGGACGCAAGAGACTCAAGATGGCTCCCAAGGAATAAGTTCCCAAATGACCGCGCTGGCTTTGGAGGCCCCGGCAGCCCCCCCCAAGGACGCAAGAGACTCAAGATGGCTCCCAAGGAATAAGTTCCCGAATGACCGCGCCCGTCCGCGCCCGTTGAGGAGGCCCCAAAAGCCCCTCAAAAGACGCAAGAGACTCAAGATGGCTCGCGCGCAATAAGTTCTCGAAATGACCCCACCTGTTTTGGAGGTGCCTGAAGCTCCCAAAGAACTCAAGAGACTCAGAGCATTAGGGCCGGAGACTCGGGGTGGGAGCCAAAAAGAGCCACGGTCGCCCGGGCACCTTCAAACACAGGAGCCAAACATGAGGCGCTGACTGTATACCATAGATAATCATCCCTAAACCATAGAGAACTCGGCGACAACACGTCATCCCAAACCACGGAGAACCTCCATAAACCATAGAGAGAGTTTGGCTCCGCGGGGAGTACTCCACGATTCGAGAACCAGAGCGAGCCAGTCATGTCACTGCCCCAGCCTCTATCCCAGAGGTGGGCATCATACACGTCGTAAGCCGTGAGCGGCTGAGGTCAAACGTTGAGGACGACGCTCCGCAACGCGTCCCCCGCAGGTCGAGTGGCTTTCTTGCATCTCAGCACTTCGCACACCTGCAGCTGTGAGGCGACGTGGGCCGCATGACCGAGCGGGGGCACGCGCCCGCCGCGAGGTGCATTACCACATTATCTGTTGCATGAGTGCTCGCCCTTCAGTGGAATATTTAGACTGCAGGCTATGGATGAGCAGGTGACTTTCCTTGAGAAGTTTTCATTTAGACATGTAACTACATTGCTTCGCGCGAGGGTGGATTGCCGGGGACGACCAGCGGCAACCAGGCCCGGAAGTCAGTGCACCTCGACGATCGCATGGGGCTAGCATCCGCGAGGTGGCGACGACTGTCTACCCAGACACGGGGGTTTAGGGGTTGAGGGTTAGGGTTTAGGGTTTAGGGTTTAGGGTTTAGAGTTTAGGGTTTAGGGTTTAGGGTTTAGGGTTTAGGGTTTAGGGGTTTAGGGGTTTAGGGGTTTAGGGGTTTAGGAGTTTAGGGGTTTAGGGGTTTAGGGGTTTAGGGGTTTCGGGGTTTAGGGGTTTAGGGGTTTAGGCTTTAATTAGGGTTTTTTAGGCTTTAATTAGGGTTTAGGGTTTAGGGTTTAGGGTTTAGGGTTTAGGGGCGGGTTAGGGGCAATGGTACCCTGTACCCTTTTGTTTGGTTCTGGGTTCCCTTATGAAACAACCAACCCAAAAGGTACCATTGCCCGTAACTAAACCCTAAACCCTAAACCCTAAACCCTAAACCCTAAACCCTAAACCCTAAACCCTAAACCCTAAACCCTAAACCCTAAACCCTAACCCTAAACCTAAACCCTAAACCCTAAACCCTAAACCCTAAACCCTAAACCCTAAACCTAAACCCTAAACCCTAAACCCTAAAACCCTAAACCCTAAACCTAATTAAAGCCTAAAAAACCCTAATTAAAGCCTAAACCCCTAAACCCCTAAACCCTAAACCCTAAACCCCTAAACCCCTAACCCTAAAACCCTTAAACCCCTAAACCCCTAAACCCCCCTAAACCCCCTTAACCCCTTAACCCCGTAAACCTTAACCCCTTAACCCTTAAACCCTAACCCTAAACCCCAAGCCCCAAACCCTAAACCCCAAACCCCCAAACCCTAACCCTAAAACCCCCCCCCCCCCCCAAAGCCTAGTCTTATTCTGAAGGCCCCTTATATTACCCCAGCTATGGGGTAATATAAACAGCACTGGTCCACCTGAAGCTGCCCTCAACCCTGCTCGTTTAGGGTTTAGGGTTTAGGGTTTAGGGTTTAGGGTTTAGGGTTTAGGGTTTAGGGTTTAGGGTGTAGGGTAATTATTAAGGCCCCTATATTACTCTCTATATTACTTTGTTGTGATGGTGCTGACCTGTCGATGGAGGGCTTGCCCGACGTCTACTCGCGACAGCGCGCTACGGAGTCTGGCTGGCACCAACGAGTTCTGCGGCCTCCAGGCCAAGTGCAAAACCACGTTTGAGAACACAGGTTTAGGGTTTAGGGTTGACGCCCTTAACCCGGGACCCCGACCCCTGAAACCCTAAGACCCTACCACGACCTCAAAACCTAAAGACCCTGAAGCTGCTGAACCCTAAACCCATACACGACCTCGTTGCTTCTTGGCCTTGCGCAAGCCAGGCTCGCCATCCCCTGAACTTCAATGTGGCTGCTTCGGGACAACATGGCAGTGAAGATACGTAAGGCGTTGAGGGTGTAGGCTTCCGAGAGAGGAGGCTGTTCCACGGCTGTGCGCCCTGCTCGACGGGATAATCTTGCTCAGCAGCGCTAGTTGATGTCGATGCCGGTGATTCGACGTGAGTTGAGACCATGGACATCTGTTGGATGAAGGACGCAAGGAGAAAGTGCACGCAGGGGTGGTCGTTTTGGAATTATTGTTTGCTATTGCCTGTTTCGGGTTGCTGCAACAAAGCTCCCAGAACTCAGTTCCATCACCCCTCTATGAAGCGAAGGAACAGGAGCAGTGTACCAAAGTTATACCCATACCCTGATTTCCCTCGAAACCAGAAACCATGAAACCCTGAAACCCTGAAACCCTCAAACCTGAAACCCTAAACCCTAAACCCTAAACCCTAAACCCTAAACTCTAAACCCTAAACGCTAAACTTCCTTTCTCGGCTCGAAGCGCAGTTTGGAACCGGCCCTCGGTTGGCCCCACGGATTTTTGCGGTGCGAAGTGCCTGTGATCGAGGGTGCCCATCTCGGTGCTGGGTTTGGGGGTTTAGGGTTTAGGGTTTCGGGTTTCGGGTTTCGGGTTCAGGGTTTCGGGCTCAGGGTTTAGGGTGTGGTTCCAAAGGGAGGCAGCTGGGGATCTTGTGGAGCGCACGGGTCCCACTGGGCTTCACTTGGAAGTTCATGTGTACTGAGTAACCCAAGAACAGCGGTACGTACAACCGACTAAGAAGCCCTCTTAAGTGCCCTAATATGGTTTTTGTTGGGTTGTAGGTACAGTTATATGACCGACTTATAAGCCCCTTAATAAGTGCCCTAATAACCGACTTATATGCTCCTTAAGTGCCCCAACCATGGTTAGTCTTGGGTGAAAAGTACAGGTATAATTCTGTGATTCAGTACCATGGACCTCCAAGCAGGGCCCTGTGGAAATCCCCGAAGTTTAGGGTTTAGGGTTTAGGGTTTAGGGTTTAGGGTTTAGGGAGGATAAACCCGATCTTGCATGTTTAGGACCCAGAGGAGGCCCTTGTTCCCCTTTTCCAGGGTTTGCTTAGAAGCCCCTTAAGCAAAAAAAGGGGTTAGGGTTTAGGGTTTAGGGTTTAGGGCTTAGGGTTTAGGGTCCTTTTTTCTTCCTCCGCTACTCCTGGGTCTAGATGTCTTCGAAGCTGCTTCGGAGTATCCGTGAGCCTTCAAGCGGGAGCTCCCCTTCAAGCATCCCCCGGGTTGTGCTGGCTCAACCCTAGAACCCCTAAAGCCTAAAACCCCAAAACCCTAGAACCCCTAAACCCTGAATCCTAAACCCCTAAACCCTAAACCCTAAGCCCCTAAACGCGAAGCCCTCCCCAAGGCCCCAGAGCCCCCCCTCAGGACATGTTTGGGCACCTCTAAACCCTAAACCCCGAAACCCTAAACTCCTAAACCCTAAGGCCTAAACAACTAAACCCTAAACCCTAAACCCTAAACCCTAAACCCTAAACCCTAAACCCTAAAAACCCTATAAACCCGATAAACCCTAAAAACCTTAAACCCCCTCAGGACATGTTGGGCGCCCTCAAGTCAGTCTTCTGGCCCTCAGAAGCCGCGCGCGCACGGCCGGTGGAGACGCCGGCGGCGGCCTCGAGAATCCGTTTAGGGTTTAGGGGTTTAGGGTTTGGGGTTTAGGTTTTACTCAACATCCAGAGGACCCAAAACCCAAGCCTAAACCCTAGCGGTTATATCCAGTTGGAATGAGCCCGCCACGAACCTGCAAATACTCCGGCAACCTGACATCGACGTGCTGTTACGTAACGGTTGCTTTCCTTTGCAATGTACTACGGGTGCCTTGAACGTCATTATTGCTTGGAATGACGCAGCCAGGAGCATCTTTGCCGGATAAGAATCCTAAACCCTAAGCCCTAAGCCCTAAACCCTGAACCCTAAATCCTAAACCCTTGTTCTTCCCTTTTTTGAAATTTTTACTGACTGGAAGAACCCTGGCAAAAAAGTTTGAGATGCCGCGGATGGTTGAAATGTAGACCCAGTTCCCTAAACCCTAAACACCACGAACTCCAGACCCCAACCCTAAACCCTACGCCCGAAACGGGGTTGTGAAAAATAACCTAGATCCACTTATCCTTGCCCCCTAAACTCTACACCCTGAACCCTAATCCCCTGAAACCCTAAACCCTAAACCCTACACCCTAAACCCTAAACCGTAAACCCTAAACCCTAAACCCTAAACCCTAAACCCTAAACCCTAAACCCTAAACCCTAAACCCTAAACCCTAAACCCTAAACCCTAAACCCCAGTGGCTTTCTGGAGGCACTCCAAAACCTTGCGGGGGACAATCGCAAAGCCAAGCTTCGCGATGTGAAGGCTGAGGACTGAGAAGAGGGACCCCTAGGGAGGGTTTAGGGTTTAGGGTTTAGGGTTTAGGGCTTAGGGTTTAGGGTTTAGGGTCTAGGGTTTAGGGTTTAGGGTTTAGGGTTTCAGGGTTTCAGGGTTTAGGGTTTAGGGTTTAGGGTTTCAGGTTTCAGGGTTTAGGGTTTAGGGTTCAGGGTTTCAGGTTCTAGGGTTTCAGGTTTTAGGGTTTAGGGTTTCGGGTTTGGGGTTTGGGGTTTGGGGTTCAGGGTTTGGGGCTTAGGACTTCGGGCTTAGGGTTCAGGGCTGAGGGTTCAGGGTTTGAGGATTTAAGGTGTAAGGAGTTTAGGGTTCAAGGGTTTAGGGTTTAGGGTCAGTGAAGAGGTGTATCTCATGTAGGCGCTGAGGGTTGAGGTTTTAAGGTTCTTAAGGTTCTTGGGTGCTGTGTGAGGACTACCCGACGCCAGAGAAGTACTTGGAAGGCCCGCGACTTAGACGCCGGCCGTCCCCAGCAGCTGTCCGCACACCGCCAACCGGGCAACTTGAGCTAGGACCCTAAACCCTAAACCCTAAACCCTCAACCCTCAACCCTCAACCCTAAACCCTAAACCCTAAACCCTAAACCCTAAACCCTAAACCCCAAACCCCAAACCCCAAACCCCAAACCCCAAACCCTAAACCCTAAACCCTAAACCCGAAACCTTCTCGTTGAGCATATGGTTTTGGGTCTGGGTTTGAGAGCCCTTCGCCCGAAAGTCAGTCTGGTGCCAGGCGCGGAGATTCCCACCTTCTACCAATTCCAGAGCAACATGGTGGCGGATGAGGACCACCCCTCAACCTAGTATCCTACAGCCACCTCAACTTCTTGAAAACATGACCCTAACCCTAAATCCTAAACCTGGTAAGTTGCCAGAACCTTATTTACTTGGAGGTGCAAGAGCAGTTACCAGCCGGGGGTGCAAGTAGGATAGCCACATTCCAAACCTGGCTTAGCCGGGTACTTCGAACTCGCCAGGAACTCTGAACCTTCACGCAACCCTCAACCCGAAGCCCCCAAGCCCCAAGCCCCAAGCCCTAAGCCCCAAGCCCGAAACCCTAAGGCCTCGCCCTAATCCGTAAGCCCTAAACCCTAAACCCTAAGCCCGAAGCCCTAAGCCCCAAACCCGAAGCCCAACGCCCTTTAAACCCTCCTTCCAACACCCCATGAACCTTTGGGTAATAGACTCGCCACACCAGGGTCTGGGACTCATGTTACATAGGGTTTAGGGTTTGGGCTTTAGAGTTTAGGGTTTAGGGTTTAGGGTTTAGGGTTTCGGGTGCAGGGTTTAGGGCTCAGAGCAAACCTGAAGCCCTAAGCCCTAGGACCCTAATCCCTCAACCCTGAGCCCTGGGCCCTGAATACGAAGCCTTGACCGCACGCTTTGCGGGATCTTAAAGCGCGTGTCGAAGTAGAACGAAGACAAAGGTGTGCAACCCTAAACCCTATAAACCCTATAAACCCTATCAACCCTATAAACCCTATAAACCCTATAAACCCTATAAGCCCTATAAACTCTATACACCCGAACCACAAAAAAGGAATGATCGCATTCTTCTTGCACTGCTCTTCCTTTGTACTGCCTTGCAGGATCTCAAAGCTGGCATGTGCAGCGGATTGGAGGCAGGGATTGAACTGTCAGGGTTTAGGGGCTTAGGGGTTTACATACAGGTTTGGGGGTTTCTAGGGGCTTCTCTGTGTGTGTGTGAGGGTTCGGTCATTTTTGAATTTGGGGTCTTTGGGGGGCTTACGGTGTTTTTTTGTTTGGGTTTCAGGGTTTGGGGTTTCAGGTCGTGGTCCCGCGCCAAACCCAAACCCTAAGCCCTAAGCCCTAAGCCCTAAACCCTAAACCCTAAACCCTAAACCCTAAACCCTAAACCCAGCTTGAAGGTGGACAAGAGGCTGACGCTGCCGACGCGCACGCACATCCGCTTCCTCGTTACCGGCCAGGATGGGCTTTGCGTTGCCTAAACTCTTAGACTAGCCTCCTAAACCCTAAACCCTAAACTCTAAACTCTAAACCCTAAACCCTAGAACCCTACTAAGCCTTGAAACCCTACTGAAACCCTAAACCGGGAACGGGGGCAAAGGAATCTTCCGGGGTCTCCCCCTTGAAACGGACGCCTTCTACGCTCAGATTGGGTTTAGGGTTTAGGGTTTAGGGTTTGGGGTTTAGGGTTTAGGGTTTAGGGTTTAGGGTTTAGGGTGTGGGGTTTAGGGTTTAGGGTTTAGGGTTTATAGGGTTTAGGGTTTAGGGTGTGGGGTTTAGGGTTTAGGGTTTAGGGTTTAGGGTTTAGGGTTTAGGGTTTAGGGTTTAGGGTTTAGGGTTTAAGGTTTCGGGTTTAGGGTTCCCTGAACATGTCCCGAAGAAGTGCAAACATGTAGGGGCTCAGAGTATTCCCAAGAATCTTTCAAAAGCGCTGTGTAGCCAGAAATCGAGGCCCAACAAAGTCCCTAAACCGAAATCCCCTAAACCCCCAACAGCCCCCAAACCCCGAAAGCCCATAAAGCGCCCAAAGCCCGCGAAGCCCCGAGAGCCCCTGAAGCCCCTGGAGCCCCTAAAGCGCCTGGAGCCCCTAAAGCCCCTAAAGCCCCTGAAGCCCCCCAAACCCTGAACCCCCCAAGCCCCTAAACGGGCTGTGTAGACCCTACTTACAACACCTCTCCTAGGTAGTAGTAGGGAGACCCCTTAAAAGGGGACCCTTCTGAACCCTACTTCTATATCCCCAAGGGTCCCCCTACTCTTAGCTCCTAACCTCAAGCCAGGATGTGATCCACTGCTTTTCCGTCCCATCCTTGGGCGTGAAGACGGATGCCACCCCCGGCCGCATCAACCGTGCGCCTTCGAGGGTTCGGTTCGCGGTTCGGTTCGCGTCAGGGTTCAGGCTTTCGGGCTTTTGGGGTCTTCGTTCTTTTTAAGGCGTTTATTGATTTAGGTTATTGTGTTTTTTAGGCATTTTCTTGGTTTTTAGGCTTTTTTCCCCCCCCCCCCCCGTGGTTTTGGGGTTTTTAAGGTCTTTAAGGGTTTCGGAGGGTTCACAAACGTAAGGTCCAGGGGAGCATCCGTGATTGTGTGGGTAGCAAGAGGGTGCGAGCCTTGAAGCAAGCGGTTTCGGGTTTCGTGCACAGCTCAGCATCGCAGGTTTAAGTTGTCTCAAGCAGCTTGACAGTCCCGCAGATGCGGGCATGCTTCTCGGCCGTGTTTGGGAGATCTCGCCCTGCGGGGTGCAGGTCCAACGCGTTCTGGCAGCCACACCGGTCGAAGAGTATTTCTGGGCGCCAGCTTTCGAGGTTGATCCGGACGTCCTGAACCATGCCAAGTGCCCAGTGACGCAGTTCCAGTTTCTGGGTCATTGTTAAAAATCATGTCACATTTTTATGAGTACTTAGACCCCAATAAGGAACAACACTGACTTTTCTTAGTCGTGCCCTAACCATTGTGTGCAGGTTTGGGGAGGAAGGGGCCTCGGCCTCTGGGGCTTCAGCTGTCTTGGTGAGCTTCCAGGTCGCAGAGGCCCCCGGCTTTGGAGGTGAAGGCCTCAGGCGGGCCAAGTGCGTCAGAATCTCCGGCACCAGCAAAGAGGGGCCCCAAGAGGGGCCCCAAGAGGGGCCCCAAGAGGGGCACTCTTCAGGGTCGAGTGCAGCTGCCCAGGGCGAAGGGAGGCCGGTCAGGGCTTCGGAGATCTCCCCGGCCGCTGCTGTCTTCCGGGCCAGCCAGCCCAAGCAGCCCAAGTGCCAGACCACGATTTCAGCCATGGACGCGTGGAAGGGTCCCATCTTGGAGGAGGATGAGCAGGAAACCGCGGGTTGCAGCCGGAGCTTGCGCGAGAGCATCGGGAGGGTGACCGAGAGAGGCAGCGGCGCCTTCCTGTGCCACCTGGCGCTGTGCTGTCTGGCCGGAGTGCGCGTCTGCCTCGAGGCACCTTTGGCATAGTTGGGTAGCATTTTTCATTATTTTAAGGGGTACTACAATCCAATACGGAATATACATGTAAATTTTTTAATGCTCTCCCAACCATGAACTAGGCGCAAAGCTGGTTTGCAGAGCAGCGGAGCAAGAGCCCTTCCTTCGTGGGCTTCCTGCAGCGCCAGGAGGCTTTCTTGCTGCGCCTGGCGGCCAAGTGCCTGAGCCAACTGGACTTGGGACAGGGCCTTGTCCGGCGCAGCATCAAGCCCGGCCTGCAGTTTTGCCGCGACATCGTCACGAAGTTGGCCCACGCAAAGGGGCCCATGCCTGAGGCATGGGAGGGGATGAGGTACTGGATCGTTCAGGGCCTCGTCCGCAAGCCCTGCTGGCTTGGAAGAAAGCAGAGGCCAAAACCGCTCCGGTGCTCGGCCAAGGCGTGCTCTGTCCGCGGTCACTAGGATGCGTTTAAGTGGAGTGGAGTACAGTGAGCTCCTGATAGCAACCATAGGCACCCTCTCCTCCCCCCCCCCCCCCCTTCGGATTTTTTGGGTCAACCTAGGACACCACGTGCAGCTGACGGCAGACGCTTTGGGCCCGGCGGGGTGGCGATGTCAAAACCACGGCCTGAAGCGGCTCGAGTACCGCTGCAACGTGCCGGGCTGCGGCCGGCGGAGGGCCCAGCGCGTCCTCGTGAAGGATGCTGAGTTTGGCCAGGGGGGGCAAAAAAGGTGAAGGCCTTCTTAATGGGGTGTTAAGGTTTAGGGAGGGTTTCTGGCGCCCTCCTAGAATGGTTGCAGGTTACGGACCAGAGCCCGCTCAGGACATGTTTGGCCCGCCAGGGCAGCGCTGCTGCTCACATGGGGGACGCAGCTGCGAAGTGGACGGCTGCCGCCGCCACGCCCGCGTCCGCGTGCGCCTCGAGGATAAGTTCGGCCTGCCCGGACTTCGCTGTCCTGGGCACTGCGAGCAGTGCAGGTGCAGTGTCCCTGGCTGTGACAGGCTGGAGTTGACCAATAGTGTTCCCGCATAAAATCCACTGCGCCGTTGGGGTGTCATGCTTCGGGGCTTCATGAAACCGAAGATCCCACATCTTAAGCCCTCCAGACCCTTGAGAATAGTGTGTCTGGCCTAAGCAGGCTGCCCAAGGGCCGGGTGGCTGCCCCCGATCACTTTGGCCAAGCTGGCTATCGATGTGGCAGGCACGGGCTCGGGTGCTCTGTGGCAGGCTGCACCAAAATCCCCTGGGGACGTGCAGAAGTGGCGGACCAGCATGGCCGCGCCGGCCGGCGATGCTGGATGCATGGAGGCTTGGTAGCCCACTGGGACCCTTTTTCCCTTTTAGGGTTTAGGGTTTAGGGTTTAATTAGGGTTTAGGGTTTAGGGTTTAGGGTTTAGGGTTTAGGGTTACTGAGCTACCAAGGAGGTAAAACCTGCAACGTTCCAGATTGCCGAGCACGGCCTGTGAGGTATGTCACCGACTCCGATCATCACGGCGCCGCCGGGATCAGATGTGCCAACCACTCGGACACTAGCCAGCCCAGGGGGGGCGATTTTTATGTTTCTTAAACCCTGGTGCTTTTGTTTTGAAAGCTAACCAGCTCAGCAACAGAAGCGACAGAGGGGCCCTTAAACCCCAAACCAAAAACTTTAAAGCCTGAACACCGCGCCCCAAACCGTGAAGCTTAAACCCTATACCCCTAAACCCTAGACCCTAATCCTAAACCCTAGACCCTGAACCCTAAACCCTAAACCCTAAACCCTAAACCCTAAACCCTAAACCCTAAGCCCTAAGCCCTAAACCCTAAACCCTAAACCCTAAACCCAGGACAAGCGTGCTGGTCCGACGAAGAAGCAGCGGGTGCGCGAAAGGCCGAAGCTCCAGATGGAGCTGCAGCTGGCTGATGACGACCGCTGTGTTTCTGGGACTTAGGGTAGGGTTTCTGGGACTTAGGGCAGGGTTTCTGGGACTTAGGGTAGGGTTTCTGGGGTTTAGGGTTTAGGGTTTAGGGTTTAGGGTTTAGGGCTTAGGGCTTAGGGCTTACTTAGGGCTTAGGGCTTAGGGCTTAGGGTTTAAGGGGTTTTGGGTTTGGGGTTTACGGGGGTGTATGGGTTTGGGGTTATTTGTGGGCTTAAGGTTGTTTAGGGGTATGGCGGCTTAGGGGCTTGGGGTTTAGGGTTCCCACGTGTAGTTACACTTAGGTTTTTGGGCCTCAACAACTCCAAATCGTAAATAATTCCTGACCCCGCATAAACCCTAAACCTGAAACCCCAAACCCTAAACCCTAACCCCCTGAAACCATAACCCTAAAACCAAACCCTAAACCCAAAAACCCTGAACCCTAAACCCCTAAACCCTGAACCCTAAACCCTAAACCCCAAAGCCCTTTTTGGCCTAGGTTGTTTCTATATACCAGGTAGTACATCATAATTAGCGGCCATGAGTTCGCTTCCCATTAAAATACGAACGACTGTAATGAAGTGAGAGGAGAGAACGTAATGAGTGAAACAAACGAACGCAACATGTGAAGTGAGTGCGTGCGCCACGAATAAGTGAACGGCCAATGAACAAGATTAAGGATTTTTGACTCACTTTTCTTTCCTTTGCTTTCTTCACGTTCACTTCGCTCGCCAAAATCGCCAATGAAAAATAGTAAATTCACGCGTGTTCTTGTAATTTACTACTTTTAATCGGGTTTTTGTGTGCGTTGCTCACTCCATGACTCTTGTATCACATGGTAAGGCTTTCATGCGGTTCTCCTTGGTTTGTGGGTTTAATGGTCGCGAGGTTGGGGTCTTATTGCTTCCTTGGGCTCGCCAGTCGTAAAACCATTCATGAGAAGTCTATTGGTGATGCAGGTTGTAGTGCGTGAATAGGATATTAGAACTAGACTGTGAAGAGAAGTGTATGGATTAATTTGTGAGGAACGCAGAGACGGCCGAACATGGCGCTGCTGGCGGCCTCGCAAAGATGGGCATGATGTTTGCGACGCTGAGCTCGTCAAGTGCTGCGTACGGGGTTGAGAGTTTAGGGTTTAGGGTTTAGGTTTGGGGGTTTCGGGTTTAGGGTTTTTTGGGGCTTGGGGTTTCGGGTTTCGGGTTTAGGGTTTAGGGTTTAACGTGATGTTGAACCGTTTGGGTACCCCTTGTGAGAAAATCCAAAGGTGCACACCTTGTCCCACCAGTACTTGGAGGCTCATGGTACTTATGAACCCATTATAACTGTACTTATAATTTTAGCCCACTTATAAGCCCTTAAGTAGGGTTATAAGTACCACTATAAGTACCTCCAAGTCTCAGACAAGAAGGACCACCACTTGGCAAAGCGGATGCAGGCGGACCAGGTGCGGAGAATGAAGTTGCAACGGCGCAATGAAGCGAAAGCCTCGGCAGAGAAAAGATGAGGCCCGCGAGTGTAGGGCTTGCTTGGAGGTTCATGGTACGTGTGAACCACTTCTACCCCCTTGAGTGCCTTAATATGGTTATACGTACAGCTACAAGTACACTTATAATTTGTTAAGGCGTGAAGTTTAGGACCCACAAGCCCCGAGCTCTTAGAAGCCGTGGGCCCAGGGCCAAAGGTCTGGGTCTGAATAGGGTTTCGGTTTAGGGTTTAGGGTTTAGGGTTTAGGGTTTAGGGTTTAGGGTTTAGGGTTTAGGGTTTTTTTGGAGTTGAGGGTTGTGCAATGGTTCGGACGAGGCTTGCTTCAGAGTTTAGGCTCCTCAGCAGCTGTCTTGGACCCCCATGAACGGAAGCCGCAACCTAAAGCGCCTGGGCCTCTGGATTATCTGAAAAAGCTATGTTTAAACCACTAATCTATACCCAAGTCCTTAACCCCAACCTCTAAAGCTCCTAAGCCCTGATCCCCAATGCCTCGGGTCCTAGAACCCTAAACCCTAGTCAGCCCTCTCAAAGCAAAATCCAAAAGCGCAAGGAGCCTGTCAAATCAATTCTCCAAGTCAGACGTGAAAGCGCTAAAGCTTGGGGGCTAAGGTTCGTCATCAGCCTAACACTATTACATGCCTCAACATGTCTGTTGTAAACCCTAAACCCTAAACCCTAAACCCTAAACCCTAAACCCTAAACCCTAAACCCTAAACCCTAAACCCTAAACCCTAAACCCTAAACCCTAAACCCTAAACCCTAAACCCTACAACCTAAACCCTAAACCCTAAACCCTAAACCCTAAACCCTAAACCCTAAACCCTAAAGCCTAAACCCTAAACCCTAAACCCTAAACCCTAAACCCTAAACCCTAAACCCTAAACCCTAAACCCTAAACCCTAAACCCTAAACCCTAAACCCTAAACCCTAAACCCTAAATAATCTTAGAGAGTGAAACCGGGCCCGGGCACATGACCCGTGTTCAAAACTTTTAAGCAGTACATGGGGTTTTAGGGTTTAGGGTTTAGGGTGTAGGGTTTAGGGTTTAGGATTTAGGGTTTAAAAGAAGAGGCTCGTTTTCAAGCTTTCAGCAACTAAACCGGGGGGTGAAAGGCATCAAAGGGGGCCCTAGGCCCATTCTAAAACCCTCAGCCCTAGCCCCTAA